AAGAGAGAAAAAGAAAGAAACAGAGAGAGTGAGAGAAAGAGAAACGGAGATAGAAAGGAAAATAGATAAAGAGAGCGAGAGAGAAAGAGAGTGAGCGAAAGAAATGGAGATAGAGAGAAAGATAAAGAGAGAGACAGATATGTACATCTATATAGGGGGGGGGAGAGACAGAGAGAGTGAAAGAGAAACAAAGACACAAAGAGAAAGAAATGGAGAACGTGAGAGAAAGACAAAACAGAGATAGAGAGGAAGATAAAGAGACAAAGAGAGAGAGAGAAAAACAGAGTGAGAGAAAGAAACAGACAGAGAGGAAGAGAGAGAAAGAAAGAGAGAGAAAAAGAAATAGAGAGAGTGAGAGAAAGAGAAACAGACATAGAGAGGAAAAGAGATAAAGAAAAAGAGAGAGAGAGAAAGAAATAGAGAGAGTGGGAGAAAGAAAAACAGACAGAGAGGAAGAGAGATAAAGAAAGAGAGAGAGAGAAAGAAACAGAGAGAGAGAGAGAAAGAGAAACAGACATAGAGAGGAAAAGAGATAAAGAAAAAGAGAGAGAGAGAAAGAAATAGAGAGAGTGAGAGAAAGAAAAACAGACAGAGAGGAAGAGAGATAAAGAAAGAGAGAGAGAAAGAAACAGAGAGAGTGAGAGAAAGAGAAATGGAGAGGAAGAGAGGAAGAGAGATAGGGAGAGACAGATATATACATATCTAGAGAGAGAAGGGGCGGCAGGGAGAGCGCCTGTGTATGTCTTATAAGTCTACAAACAAGGCCAGACATTTTCACTCACAGCGGTGTGACTGAATTGTTCTTTTTTTCCTTCCTGCCACTGGCAACTTCAGAAAAGAGAGGGGGGGGGGGGGAAAGTAACTTCTGGGGAGAGAGAAAGGTTGCGAGTGTAAAAGTTCCCTCTTCTTCCCGCTCAAGTGACCGAGGAAGGCTGAGAGGAGAAGTGTTTTTCTTCACTCCGCACCCTTCCCACACTCTTTCTTCAATCTTTTTGTGTTTTCCAGGGCTCCCTCCCCCACCCCCCGACCCCCCTTCCTGCACTGGCTCAAGAGGACCACCCAACCGGGGGGGGGGGGGGTGGGGGGCGGGGAGGGGGGCGGGGAGGGACATGACCTTTGAAAGAATTTCGGGCGGGTTATTCTCCCCTCCCCATCGAGAGTCTAGACTCTGGTATGTCTGACGGAGAAGCAAAAAGCGCAATATTCATATTTGTAAGCAGAAAAAAAGAGAGAGAGAGACAGAGAGGAAAGGAGACAAGGACTTAAATTTGGTGTGAGATGGGGGTCAAATTCTGGGCCATTTAGAAGTGGTAGCTTAGGCTCCGTGCGATGGCTTATAAATGCAATTATATTTCCCATCAGAGAGAAAATTTAGTACAGGGGGTCCTTATCTTACAACAATTTGTTTAGTGACCGTTCAAACGGCACTGATAAAAGTGACTTATGAATGTTTTCCATACCTATTCTATTCTATTCTATTCTATTCTATTCCTTTCCTATTCTATTCTATTTCTATTCTATTCCATTCCATTCTTATTCTATTCTTTTCTTATTCTATTCTATGCTATTCCTCTATTCTATTCTATTCCATTCCATTCTTATTCTATTCTTTTCTTATTCTATTCTATGCTATTCCTCTATTCTATTCTATTCTATTCTATTCTATTCTATTTTCATTCCATTCTATGTTATTCCTTTCCTATTCTATTCTATACTATACGATTCCTTTCTTATTCTATTCTATTCTATTCTATTCTATTCTATTCTATTCTATTCTATTCTATTCTATTCTATTCTATTCTATTCTATTCCTTTCTTATTCTATTCTAAAGTTACAGTGGCACTGAAAAAAAGAGAGACTTATGACCATGTTTCATGCTTTGTGGCCATTGCAGCATTCCCAAAGTCACGTGATCAAAGTCCAGATGCTTGGCAATTGATTTGTATTTATGACGATCACAGAGTCCCAGGGTCGTGTGATCACCTTTGGTGACCTGACAAGCAACGGGGAAGCCGATTTCCCTTAACAACCGTGTTGCTAACTGAACAGCTGCACTGATTCCCTTAAGGTTAGGGTTAGAAATTGTGATTTGGAAATTGCGTTGTGCATGAATTAATTTCTTGGTCCGTGGGGCCCCTGGTGCTCTCTGAGCATGGTTTCTTGCAGACGTTTCATTACCCAACGAGGTAACATCATCAGTGCTATAAGGGAGTGGTGTTTGCAAAGCAGAAAGAGGAGGAGGACTTTTAGAGTCTCGACGCTCTCTGAGCTTGGTTATTTTCATGCAGACGTTTCGTTACTCAACTAGGTAACATCATCAGTTCAAACCAACCAAACTCTGAGACCACCAAGGACCCCACAATCCAACCTTAAACTACAAATATTATCTTCTATTTCCAATTCTTGGTCTGTCTAATCCAGGGGTGTCCAACCTTAGCAACTTTAAGACTTGTGGACTTCAACTCCCCTCACGTGGAACTATTTTTTCTATGGGTCTGCTAAACTAATCCTTAGTTTATGGGCTCTTATTTTTATACCGATATGGTTTAAATAAGTGCTTTTCAAAGGAAACGATTCTGACACTGTGGATTTCGACAACTCTGGGAGGTGGGTAGGGATGAGAGAGAAAGAGAGAGGGGTCGTGAGAGAGGAAGAAGGAGAGAGAAGGAGGGAGAGAGAGGGAGGGAGAAGAAGAGGGAGAGGGAGAATGAAAGGAAAAGAGAGGGCTATAAAAGGATGGTGAAGCGGTATATAAGTCTAAGGGCTACTGATATTGCTATCCTATTGCATCGGTCATCCGACGATCTCTCGCAACCTTGACTTGTGTTTCTCCATCGCTGAGGGGGGGCTTGTCTGGCCAAAGGAAAGGACCTTGGGGGCTTGCAAAGCTGAGGGGAGAATCACGGCATTGAAATGTGTGAGACGGGGACGTGAACAATGCAAGAACAACGTAAAAATATTTTTTTTTTTAAAAAAAGAGAAAATGTTGCATGCTTCATTAACGTCCAACCGATTCCGCTAAGCATGCTCTGTCCCCCATATCCTCTCTCCACCCTTTTTGCTTTCTTGCCCAACTTCTTCCTCTTACCGATGGTGCAATGCTCTCCGTTCCAGCCGGGGCTGCATTCGCACTTGCCGTCCCGACAGGTCCCGTGTTCGTTGCAGCGGGGGTGACACGCTCGCTGATCGCAAGCCGCCCCCATCCAGCCCTCTTCGCAGCGGCAGGAGCCCCCAACGCAAGTGCCGTGTACCCCACAGTCGGCTGCGCAGATCTCTGCGGAAGGAGGAAAAAAAAATTTTTTTTTTTTAAAAAAGAAAGAAATTGTCAAAGAAAATAAGATAATTTTTGGGCTACAACATTGAATTAGAATATTGTGTTCAGAGTACTGCAGCGTAAATTCAGTGCCAGAAAAGTAAACACAGATGGATGAGGCTTCATTTAACTTCGTTATGAACGTATAAAGTCAATTTTACAATACCAGTTGTAGATGTCTCCAACATGGAGCAAACTCAAACAGAAGCAGACATGTTACAGTTCAGAGCAGAACAGCAGCTCAGGAGCTCAGAAACAGGCCTCAGTTTCACTTTAGTTCAGCAGGCCAGCATTATACACAGCAGAGGAGAGAAGCAATTTCATTCTCAACAGACAGACTCAGAGCTCAACATAGCTTCAGAGCTTAATACAGAGCCACGCCTAGGCTACTTCTGGTTTCACTTTCCAAACAGTCCTCATTGGCTGATTTAGTTGCTATGCTTATTCGTTGGCTGACCTTGTTTACCAAGCTCTATTCCAGTTCACGAATATACTCTGGACATATTGGGAAAAATTATGGCGGGGGGAAGTAAGTTTCTGCTTCTGAGCTTCTACTTCTCTTTTTAAGGGGAAATATTCTGCCTTTTTAGTATATCCTAAAATATTTCATTTTCCTAGGAGAAGGGTGGGTTTTAACTTCCAACATGGGTGTGTGTGTGTGTCAGGCGGAGGGGTGGTGGGGTAGAAAGAAGGGAGATCGGGGTGAAAGAAACAATCAGAAAGTCACCGTTATAAAACAAGTAAATAAAACAAGCAAGCCACACACTCCACTAACTTATCCTGAGTTTTTTGTGGGGGCGGGGAGGAGAAATGAAAGGGATTCTTGCGGATCCTGAGTCTAATCCCTTTTGATTTAAGAATCTAAGAAGCAGATTACAAAAAAGAGCGGGAAAAGGAGATGAACGTGGCTTGGTGGGATCCACTGATGCCTGAAACTCTTTTTTTTAAACTTTCTAATATGATATTTCTCTCTCTCTCTCTCTCTCCCTCACACACACACACACAACCTCCTGTGGCTTTCACCGACTGGGCTGAATCCAAAAGGGCCCTTTCAGAAGGAAAGGGACAAAAGTCAATTTTTTAATTAAAAACTAGTTGAGTGTAAAAAATCCAACAACACAACAATCGGGCCGCTAAATCTCCTGAAAAGTTAAGTGTGGCCGGCAAAGTCTATTTGCAGTGGGTTATCGCTCTGGTTACCAGATCTGGGGCGTTTGGGAACGTTGCTTTTCTTTCTTTCTCTCTCTCTCTCTGGCCTGCATTGTGAACCGTTCACAAAAGATTCCTTTATCTGGCTCCGAAATGCTTGGGGGAGCTTTGAAATTGCGGTGTGCCCTCTAGGATACACCCAGGGCCTTCTTAGAGTAGTCCCGCTTGCCTCTGAGAAAGCTGAGGTCAAAATGCAGCAGGCAGGAGGTGAGCTGTAGAAATGGTGACTAGGAAATCCACAACAGTTTCTGTCCGTCCATCTACCTGCCTACCAACTCAAGAAGCATAGAAGGAATCCTTCCTTGTTTTCCTTCCTTCCTTTCCTTCCTACTTTTCCTTCCTTCCCTGTTTTCCTTCCTTCCCTGTTTTCCTTCCTTCCCTCCTTCCTAGTTTTCCTTCTTTCCCTTCGTTTTCCTTCCTTCCTTCCCTGTTTTCTTTCCTCCCTTTCCTTCCTACTTTTCCTTCCTTCCTTGCATTCCTTCCTTCCCTCCTTTCTAGTTTTCCTTCCTTCCTTTCCTTCCTTCCTTCGTTTTTTCCTTCCTTGTTTTCCTTCCTTCCTTCCTACTATTCCTTCCTTCCCTGCATTCCTTCCTTCCTTCCTTCCCTCCTTTCTATTTTTCCTTCCTTCCTTCCTTCCTTCCTTCCTTCCTTCCTTCCTTCCTTC